TTTCTCCTTAGTTCTAGGTTGCTTCTCTCCTTGATTAGTTTCCATCCGTTGCTTCTTGTCCTGCCTTCAGGCGCCTTGGAAAATAGCTTGACTCCCTCTTCTTTGTGGCAGCCCCTGAGATATTGGAACACTGCTATCATGTCCCCCCTCGTCCTTCTCTTCATTAAACTAGACATACCCAATTCCAGCAACCGTTCCTCATATGTTTTAGCCTCCAGTCCCCTAATTATCTTTGTTGCTCTTCTCTGTACTCTTTCTAGAGTCTCAACATCTTTTTTACATCGTGGTGACCAAAACTGGATGCAGTATTCCAAGTGTGGCCTTATATAAAAAAATATAATTTTTGTGCGAAATGCTGATCAGATTGGTATAGAACTTTTGGAGAAATGGCAGGATACAGAAAAAAATGGTCTTTAGGCCTCTCTTCTCTAGGGCTTCCAGAGGGTTAGGGTTAGGATTATTGTCTTCTTACAGTGAGGATTTTAATTTTTCCTTTGATGAGCATTTGTGGACTCCAGCAACAATTTTACCTCCCCAAATATTACCAAGGTCATCTTTCCATTTGCTGTTCCAAATCTTTGGGCTTTTAGGAATCAGTTCTCTCTTGTGACAGTTTGATTACTTTTAAGGGGGGAATTAAAGGCCTTTGTATTATATGTGGTTGTTGCATTTGTTTTAATTCTAAATATTTGGCTTGTTAAGTTGTGAACTAATTTTACTGGATAGCATTTTCTGACCAGTTTTTCTTTGGGTCTGGGATGCACCTTGATCAAGAATTATAAATTCTGTAAAGCAGGGGTCCCCAATCCCCGATGCGTGGACTGGTACCGGGCGGCGGCATGCCAGCAACTGCTCTGCACAAACAAGCAAAGCCCCATCCACGGGATGCAGGCAGCACACAAAACCACGCCCCCTCCGGTCTGCAGAAAAACCTCTCTCCACATAACCGGTCCCTGGTGCCCAAAATTTGGGGACCTCTGCTGTAAAGGACAAAAGAAAAAGGAGATTCTCTGTTTATAACACTGAAGCATAAAGCAAACAAAAAGTAACCATTTATTCCCAGGGACTTATACAAGAGGCTACATACATGTTATGTACAATACATAACAACAAAATGTTAAATAAAGCAATAAAGCTGTTTCAGGAGGGATCAATGGGTGGATGGGGAACTTCTTAAACTATTTCTTCTTTAGTGTTATCTGTTTCAAACTGTCCCTCTTGCCACTTTTATCCAATCAACCAAAGGGAAAACTATCTTGGGGCATTATGGGTAGCAGAAGAGTTTATTGGCAAGGAAAAGTTTTATAATCTCTGTTGAACAATCTTTACTCTGTAGTGATTGAATTTTTAAAGAGCTGTTCTTTTTTTTAAAAAAAAATCAGATATTTATGGGGTGCATTTTGTAGTCAGCTAATAGGCAGTTGCACAGATTTTGCAAAAGCGCTGTCTCTATTACACACAAGAAAAGTAAGTCCTTTCTCAGCTGGGAAGAAGCTTGAGGTTGCTGCCAAATCAAATTTGGCTGAAGGCATTGGTCTTCTTTCTTAACTTTGCCACCTATATAACCAAGGTTTAAAGAACAATCTCTCAGGAACTGATTATGAATAGATTTCAGTCCCAGGAAAAGCTGTTGATGAAATAGAGAGGTACTAAGCATTTCTCCCCTTAAATCACAATTCACAATTAATGCACAATCAACCGTGCATTTCTTTTTAAAGACAACTTGAACTGCAAGAGATCCTGCAAAGATGCTCCAAGCCTTATGAAAACTGTTGCTTGTCATGCTTTGCATCTGAGGCTGTAATGTCTTTTGCATTTATTTGCCAAATGTCTTGCTTAAAATATTTCTGATTCCATTATTGCTAGTGGCCTAGAGTGGAGTGCAGCTAGGACTCAGCTGTGGGTGTTGGGTTAATACATTAGGTCTGTATGTATGGAAAAGACAGTGGAAGGAATGCCTATTCTTCTGGAAGCATGCAGCACTTACAAAATCAATTCTGACTTTTCACACAGCAATTCATTTGGACCTCAGAAGCATATCCCATTACGTTTAAAAAATGAAAGTACATGCCAAATTTCTCATCATCATCATCTTAATGTTATAATTGCCTGCATTGTATTCCATTATATTGGGAAGTTAGGTATGAAAGAGACACATCCTTATATGTCTTTAATTTATTTGACATTTCATTCAACCGCATGTAGGATACACAAGCCCATTTCCTTTTATTTTAAGCAAAGTCTGGCACAGTTGTGTTCAGAGAAAGCAGATTGATGTACATTTCTACCCTTTGTCTTAACTCCAGTGCACTTAAAAATAAACGGGGGGGGGGGTGTTAGAAGTGAATGGAAGAAAGTGTCTAATTGCCTAAGGCAGGGGTAGGCAACCTTGGCTCTTTTATGGCTCAGGAATTCTGGGAGTTGAAATCCACTAGTCATAAAAGAGCCAAGGTTGCCTACCCCTGTCCTAAGGCATAAAAATACTGTCCTGTTCAATGTTAATGAAGTGTTGCTTCTGTCTTGACCTGTGTCCCTCCTTTCAGTTTCAGGCCAAGGGCATATTACCTTGCAGACAGTGATGAAGAATCTTCTAGTGCAGGATCCTCAGAGGAAGATGATGTTCCAGAAGCATCAGGAAGCGAAAAGAATTTAGTGGCAGGAGCAGAAGGGTGAGTCTTTGCTTTTAGGCAGCCGTTGGTTCAGTTTGTCTCTGGCTATTGTGTGCCCTGAGTCCGTAAGGAGAAGGGCGGGATAAAAATCCAAACAATAAATAAATAAATAAATAAATTATCAACAATGGTGCATCTTTCTTCGGTGCTTAGTCATTCAATCAAAGTTATCTTCTCTTTCTCTAACAATAAAAAAAAATCTTGTTTGTGTGTGTATGTGTGTGTGCACACATGCACAAATATATACACAATGGTTATATTATTTCACAGTAGGTTTGTGTAGTACTTGGAATCAAAGGCAAGAGGTACTTTGGAACGTACAGAAATGCTAATATAGTTCCTATCCACAATTCCTTAAAGCACTTGCAGTTTTTCCTTGGATTGTGCAATTCTGCTCCATAGCTGCAGTGCAACCCTAGGAAAAGACGTTAGGAATTACCTTGCCAGGGTTGAACCTGCCTATCCAATAAAAATGTCACAAGAAGGCCCATATATAGTTCTTGCTCTATTTGAAGCGAAAACATGGGCCAGACGGCAGGGCCCTCTCTGTTTTGGCCCCTGCACTTTGGAACTCCCTGCCTTGAAAGATTTGAGTAGCCCCATCCTCCAGACACTTTGGGAAGCTGTTAAAATAATATTATGTCCCTTTGCTTTGCATCAGGATGGAATGTTTCTGGGGGCCATCAGAAATCCTATTGATTGCAGGACTTTTTGTTTTCATTTTGTATTTTAAATCTCTTAGAACCATCCAGAGGCTCCACATTAGGGCAATTTACAAAACCCGAGAAGTCAATCAGTCAATAATAGCAACATGATTGGTTTAATGAGTTGTAGAGATGTATTATGTGTTTGCCTCAAATGCCCTGAAAACATTGTACAATGTCTCGAATTAAATTCGATCTAAATAGGATATTTAAGCTAACTCTATAAATGTTTCAATGTTTGCAGTCTACATTTATCATTTAATGCTTTTGGTGATTCAGTTTTCAGAGTGCCAATTTTACTGGCCATATCATCTGGAAATAATTAGATACTTGTTATTACAGTAATCCAAATGGCCTTGTCTTATTGGGTGATTCTTAATTATATTTGCTAATTAGTAGAAAAAACTATAAGGGGTATGAGGCAGCCCTGTTTTTTTCATATTTGGTATTTATAAATTTACAAGTCATCGTGTAAATTATCTGGTTTTGCAGATGGCTGTTTTCTGCAGTTATTGGATAAAAGATTTAGAATGAATTAGGTCTAAGAAATAATTATGATCATGATATTATGATACAATTATGATTATGATATTTTCATGTATATAGCAGCTTATTTTACAGTTAACAAACAAATTCAGTGTGTAAGAACATCCAACTTGTATATTTCAAGTGCTACCGAGAGAGGAGAATAGTACAGCTGAATGAAATATAGTTCTTTAATCAAAAATAAATGTTTCATGAACCAGAGGAACAAGACCAGACTGAATTGAAGACAAATATGTTAGAGCAAATATGGGGATCTGGGTTACCAGGGCGACAACTTAATGACCATAAATGGACCAATTCCTCTGGAAAATTGATCACTAGATGGTCTCCTTTGATTCAAGTAACATGTACAAGAATGAAGGGAGAGCCATCTGATGATCTAAAGGTATTGGTATGGAAACCTGGTTGCATAAAAGGAAAGCTAGAGTTAGATTTAAAAAATGTGGTCTTTGGATTTATTAGAGAGCATCCTAAACTTTTAACTAATGGGCTGAAGGGAGATTTTGAGATGAGGGGAAATATGGTTATTAGAGTTAACTATTGTTGGAAAATGATAAAAAATAAGGGATTAATTGGCCTAATACTGAGGATTTAGATTTATAAGGGAAATGAAAATTAATTATTAGGGAATAGCTTCGAATTATTGTTTAGCCCAGATAACACAGACGATGGATTTGAGACAATGAAGGATACTCTATTAGTAAGCAGTGATGTATCAGGATGAGAAATAGAAAATGTTTATGAAATAAAATAAGAATATATCCAAGTAAGAGGTGTATTTTAGATATTATAATTTTTATATAGTGAAATAAAGGAAATTTGGGTTACTCAAAATTTAAATACTATGATATTAAAGGTTAAATTGGAATATTGTAATTAAAAATTAGGCAAAATATGGATATGGATATGTATAAGTAAAAATATAATGATGAATGTTTTAACTGAGCTTGTTAAAATTAGAAATTTACTAGCTTAAATATGATATAGCAAATGTTAAGGGAAATAGAGAAGGAATTTTTTTTGATGATGTAACTTGAGATTTTGTTATTGTACTACTGATTACCCAATCACCACGTTGCTTTCCAAATACTTAAATGTAAAACTGGAAAACTAATAAAAACTTGTTATAAAATAAATTTAAAAAAAATAAATGTTTCATGGATTTTTCTGAATTGCTGGTTAGCTGATGTCCGAAAATGTCTGTATGTTAATGCAAACAAACATTTAGATAACAGACATTGAAATGTTTCTTTGGACTAGCAGAGAAATCAGTGCAGCTTCTTAGCAAGATTATAAATAATTTAGCAACTGTAACAGATGATCGAACTTGCAGAAATAATTATTTTCCTGTAGCTATTTTTAAGTCTTTACTTGAGAGAAAGATCATTCTGCTTTATCTGTTGCAGAAAAGATGATCCTTTTTTTTTTCATTTTAGCAGAGAGGATTTGCTGCTGCTGTTATTTAATAATAAGGTAGTAGTAATAATAGTTGATTCTTGCCAAGCAACTGCAGATCATCCAAAGATTAATCAATAGATTTAATAGTCCTTTGGGCGCATAGATTATGTTTAGCAGCATTGTCCAATTTCTAGCAGGCATAGCTTATTTATTTTAAGAAAAATGTCTGATTTTTCTTTTAATTACAATCTTCCTTTATTTTCTTATCTCTAACATTTGTATTCCCCAACTCTTGCCAACCTAGCAGTTTGGAAGCATGCAAATGCGAGTAGATAAATAGGTACCACTAAGGTGGGAAAGTAACAACACTCCGTGACATCATGCTGGCCACATGACCGTGGAAATGTCTTCGGAGAGCGTTGGCTCAGAGATGAGCAGCGCCCCCTATAGTCGGCAACGACTAACAGACTAAAATCCCCCGAGGCTGCTTTTTTTTAACATTTATAGTCTGCATTTCTAATCCACTGGGATCCATGCCAAGTAACAATCAAACCTAAAGGTGCAGCAAAACCATAATATAAAAAGTTGAGAAAAATAATACTATAAGGAAAAATCCAGAATTTGTTAATTTGCGCACTCTCTTGCTAAATCCTTGAATTTGCAGTTTGGGGTTGAAAGGTTCACTGCAGCTAGGTAAGCCACCTGTTTGATTTGAGCTCTCAAACATTTGGGAGAAATCCCAGCAGCGTATAGGACAGGGGTCTTCAAACTTGGCCCTTTTATGACTTGTGGACTTCAACTCCCAGAATTCCTTACCCAGCGTTGCTGGCTGAGGAATTCTGGGAGTTGAAGTCCACAAGTCATAAAAGGGCCAAGTTTGAAGACCCCTGATATAGGACTATCCAAGAGTAATAGTGGACATTGGGCCAACAACTGTTCACCAAAATCCTTAATATGTGAGTTAACTAACGTCTGATTTTAAACTAGTTCTGATTTATAGTGCAAGCACTTGTCACAGCCAGGTCTATGGATCTTTCCATTTTTATTCACGAAAACTGTAAGTCTTTGCTGTCTGTGCACTTACACCACATTTCACAATCTTTAGTAGCAGACTGGCATTCTGTGCCCTTAACACGTTGTATTTTCAGCCGCAGAATTACCCCCAAAGCATTAGCCTTTATGTTTTTTTAAAGGGTAGCTGAAACTCACTTAGTTGACTTCCTCTTCTTTCCTCCCTTAAAGGCATGCATCAGTGCACCGGACAAGTAAAATAATGAGATTTGTGGATAAAATTACCAAGTCAAAATATTTCCAGAAGGCGACTGAGACAGAATTCATTAAGAAAAAGATTGAGGAAGTCTCCAATACGCCCCTCCTGCTCACCGTTGAGGTACAAGAGTGTAAAGGGATGTTAGCAATTAACATTCCTCCCCCGCCTACTGATCGGATATGGTAAGTGCAGTTAAGAAGACTTATGATTTTGGAATCCATCATGTATAATGTGGCACTCAAACTTACCAGAGAGCCAAAATAATGTAGATTTCTTGTTTTTCTGAGTGGCTGTGAAAGAAGTCCCTAAAACATTTTATTCTCTAGTCCAGTGGTGGCGAACCTATGGCACGGGTGCCAGAGGCGGCACTCGGAGTCCTCTCTGTGGGCACACGTGCCGTTGCCCCAGCCTTGCCTCCCCCCGTGACACCCTCCTCACCAGCCCTCCTGGAGAAGGATTGCCCCCGAGCGTGACCCACGTGGAGCAGTGCAGTCAAGGACATGGCAGCCAGGCAGCGTAGACAAGACTCCGCCCTCACGCCCCATCGCGCACAGTTGATGCTGCGGGGCGTGGGCAGAGGGCGTGGCTGCCATGGTGCTGCTGGGCGATCTGCAGCGGGCCCTGGAGGCTATGAGTGGCCCTGTGGATAGGCAGGGTGGGGGCGGGTTCGGGGACGGGGCCAGTTTTTGGGCACTCAGTCTCTAAAAGGTTTGCCATCACTGCTCTAGTCCCCTAATTTCCCTTTTTTTCTCACATCCGTCCAAAATAATAATAATAAAAAAAAGCTGGACCATTTGACTAATAAACTATAAAGAATAATACAACAGAAATGTAGTTTGAGGTCATACAAGAGAGCATACTTATAAAATCAAAATTGGTCTGCAGGGTGTGATCATTCTTACAGAATTCAACAAGTATTCAGATGATTCTTAGTAAGGATCCTTTTTAGAAAATTGCAGTACCAGTGTGTGAGTCATAAGCGACAAGTCTGACATGTACCATTTTATTCAGGGTTAAATAAGTTAATTCTGAGACAAAGTGTGTGGGATTTTGCCGTTAATTCCTATGAACAGTTACTGACAAAGATAATGGAACTGGATGTTATTTTAAATTGCTCTGTGTGATTGAATTACTCTTCTGTCCAAAAAGAGATTTTTTGTAAAAATGTACAATTCCATTTCTTATTATGCATTTTGTAAACTTCCAGAAACTGAGAAGCTACAAAGCTTAGCAATTTTATCAACCATGAATAAAAGCTATGGCAACCAGAAATCAGGTCAAAAAGAAAGATTACCACTTGTTCTTTCTTTTCTCCTACCTTTCCCTTCCTTTAATATGGAATAATACAGAAGCATGCTGGGTAAAACAGCATATTGAACTACATGAGGATCTACAGAGGTATTAAGAGGTCAATGCCAAGGATATTTTCCAGTGGTTTCTTATAATTGAAAATAGTATCAAAGGAGAAAACCTATTTCAGTGTTTCTTTTTATCTGAAACAAATATGGAATGAAATTGTGAATGAAATTCATTTATCCAGGAATGTTTCATTGAACATTTACATCTTGCTTTTTTGTCTGGGAGGTTCAAAGCAGTTTATATAGGGTTTCCCATAATTTTTATTCTCACAACACCTCAGTGAGGTCTATATTCATTGAGGAGTTGAAGTTGGGCCTTCTCAGTCCAATATCTTCACCATTGGCCACCTTAATTGAGATGGGATCCCATTTTCTTCAAGTGAAAATATTTGACAAAAGAGAGATCCTCAGTTACACCTGACGAAATTAACCTCTAGGACAGAGGTCCCCAAACATTTGGGCACCAGGGACCGGTTCCATGGAGAGAGGTTTTTTTTGCGGGCCGGAGGGGGCGTGGTTTCATGTACTGCCTGCATCCTGCGGATAGGGCTTTGCTTGTTTGCGCGGACCGGTTTCTGGCATGCCGCAGTTTGGTGCTGGTCCACGGACCAGGGGATGGAGACCCCTGCTCTAGGAGGAGCAGAGCGTAATTCAATACAGAAAACATCTTAGTCCAACAATACATAATTGTTTTAAACTGTATTGGAAAAAGGGTTAATGACAAGTGATAGCCAAATCTTGGCCCTAGGTTCTGCCTCAGTTTACCTTCCCAATAAGCAACCGAGACTGAAGATCATTTAAAAGCCATTTATTAGGGTACCCTGATAAAGTGGGATCTCCCTATGAAAAGGGAGAATCCCAAGACCCATCTTACATTCCTTTTAATAGTTAACACAACAAAGAAAATGCAAGAGGAAAGTTGATTGGGCAAGGTAAAAGTAATCTCTCCTTTGCACAATAAATCAACTACAAAAGTTGTTTGAAGTTCATGAAGAAAGTACCAGACAACAGTTTTGCACCAACAATTTTTTTCTTATCAGGAAATAGTATCCATTCTTCTGTAATTTATCTTTTCAGTTTAGGAATGTTAGAAGCTATTAATCAATCCATATAGTGATAGGATAAAATGTTTTCCTACATTCCAGTTTATAGTGGTTTGATAAATCCACATAAAGGAGAGAAATAAATTAAATTAAAATACAAAGTAACTATGTTAGTTAACAAGTTACAAAATCCATGACATGTGCCCTTCACAAGTAAGAATGTAAAAAGGTGCTGATTTGATTTCTTAATGTGGTCATTCATGAGAGAATCATAGTACCTACTGCTAGATAATTAGGACTTAATCTCAGTTATACGTCAGGTGCATAAATTTTTTCAGAAATAAAATCCTTCACCAACTAGTATTAGTTGGGTACTAGACTTCAGCAATAACACTAATTGTTAATATATATCTGATCTCACAATGACAAATTGTGAATTGGACACATCTGTTTACAGGGCACATAGAAGAAACAAAACTATACCCCTGAACTAAAGGCGAAAATGAGACTGTTTTTAATGTTGAGATATGTACTCACTTGGAATAAATATTTTGTTGAACACAATAGTTTAGTCCTGCACAATACATGACCTGTGGGCTGCGTGCAGCCAGTCAAGCAACCTTGTGTGCTGAAATTCTTTAAAATAGTAATAAATTCACTATTGTCCCAAAAGATGCATTGCTAAGCATCTCCAAGACTCACCATTGCTGCCAGCTTCAGTCCCACTGCCACTCCACCTGCTGCCAAATAGCTGATTGGTATGCCAGATATTCCTTTGCAGCCCACAGTTATTTTTAATTTATCAGTGAGCATTTCTCCTCTGTGAGTTGTGCAGGCCTGATTTAGAGCCTCCAAGCCTCCTTCAAGCACAAAATCCTTGAACATAAAAAACAAATGCACAAGATTAGTATAACCATCCCTGACCTAGAGTGCTTCAGATGTCTGAAAGCACAAGTCCCAGAAGCCAGCAAGATTGGGGTTGGGGAGCATGATAAGATAAGATAACCTTTATTGTCATTTTTTTACTGTGGGCACAACGGCACACATCAAAAATGAAATTTAGTTGCCCGCTCTCAAAGTGAAACACATACACGACACACACCTAAACATACTATATACAACATATGTATAGACCCACACCCCTACATATACGTAGCAAATAAATATTAAATACTGTCCATCTTGAATATATAATGGAAGGAGGAAGCTTGAGAGTTCACAAGGTTAATGCTGTATGGAATGAAACTGTGGCTGAATCTGGATGTTCTGCTTCGGATACCACGAAGCCTCCTCCCAGAAGGTAACAAGGAAAACAGGTCGTGAAGAGGATGGGTAGTGTCCCAGATAATCTTACAGACCCTGCTCAAGCAGCGCTTCTGTGCTATGTCCTGGATGGGAGGGAGGGGACTGCCAATGATCTTTTCGGCCATTCTCACCACTCTCTGCACCGCCTTCCTATCTGAAGCAGTGATGCTTCCAAACCAGACTATGATGCTGTATGACAGGATGCTGTAGTCATGGACACATTTCTAGATTAAAATTTCTGTTTGTACAAGAATATCCCAGGACGGCTTTGGATAAACATGTCTCATCTTAGCTGAGCACGGATTATATTCTCCCAGAGGCCTTCAAGAAAATATGGCATACAAATATGAGATAGAAACATCTCTAAACCTGCAACATTTTTTTTATCTTCAGGTACGGTTTCCGAAGACCCCCTTACCTGGAGCTAAAAGCTCGGCCAAAACTTGGTGAAAGAGAAGTGACTTTGGTTCATGTGACTGAGTGGATAGAGAAGAAACTAGAACAAGAATTCCAGGTACTTAAAATACCATTAGCGTTAATTGTGTTAAAAGAATAAGTGAGACATCTGTAAGCTAAGCCATCTGTAAGCTTGAAGATGGTAGCATGTAACCAAGCTCAGACAGCACCAAGCACGCCTCATTTCAACCCAGAGCTATAAATATTCTCCTTTATTGGTGCAGTTGCTAAGTGACTCTTCCCCATTGACTTTGCTTGTCAGAAGGCCGCAAAAAGTGATCACATGATCCCCAGTCACCACAACCTCATGTATATATACAGGCTGCCAAGCACCCAAATTTTAATCATGTGACCATGGGGATGCTGGAATGGTTGTGTGAAAAATGATCATAAGTCACTTTTTTCAGTGTCATAACTTTAAACAGTCACTAAATAAACAGTTCTAAGTCAAGGACTATCTGAAAGGAGGCATCAAGTGAGATCACTGGTACTCTGAAATACTTTGTCTTTGGACCTGAAGTGTGCCATATCCACACTAAAATACCTTCTGTGCTCATATTTTTAAAATAAGGGCATAATGCCCGATTTTAATTTCCTTTAAGAGATACCAAATAATTAGAAGCAATATTATTGTGGATAATCTCATAAAGAAAGACTGGTTTTGGCCTGGGACAAATAAATAGTTTGAATAAATTATTGCTCATACTTTTCTATTGACTATATTTCTAGAATTCTGTTCATCTTGAATTTATTGAACTGTTAAATCTATTCAATTTTTTAGCTATTTCCTTTAAAAATTTGGAATGATGGGGGCAAGGAACAATAGCAGATAGGAGTCAACTATTTTTTTAAAATGTTTGCTGAAATGTAATGGAACGTAAGATCTTGTAACCTGTAAAAAGCAATATTGCTTTAATACCCTTGACAACTCTGTTCCAAATCTAAGCTTAAGGTAAGATAGATGTTTACTAATGACCTATGATGCTACTTGATTCAAATAAACCTGTTTAGAATTCTACTTGGCCTGATGGGAGAGTCCAAAATTAAGAGTTTGGTATATTTAATTTTTCATAACTTTACATTTGAATTACATTCTAACTCAGTTATTATACCTTGCAGAAAATTTTTGTCATGCCAAACATGGACGATGTTTATATTCCTCTAATGCACTCAGCCATGGACCCCCGCTCATCTATGTGCCCTTTGAAATTTTCTGAAGATACTGAATTGGAACAACCATGAAATGTGAAGACTGAAGTTTACAGTATTAACAGATGTCGTTTTCTTGTTCTCTTTCAAATGAAACAGTCTAGCTGATTTTGTCCTTGTGCCATGTTTTATTTTTTTAAAGATAAAATTGCTTCTGCCAATAATTGCTCCAGTTATGGCTCTCTATTGACTTTAGAGCATTAGTTCCATTTCTGCTAGGCTTTAAACCTAGTAGTTAATGTGCATTCTTCTGCAGTAAACTAGAAAGAAATCCAACTAGCAGCCATTGATCCAACAGCTTTGATCCACATGGAGTTCTTTATGGATGTGCAGTAATTCAGGATACACCCTGAACACTGGCAGTTTGTCTCATCCAGCCATATGGAACTTGTTTTCAATAAGACATGAACATGTCTAACTGGAAGACTTTCTGCTCTGAAGCAGCTGGAGATATAAAATGGAAGTGACATGTTCTTCACTCCTGCAATCCCAATAGCTTGTGTCAAGCAATTTTGAAATGGTTTCTGGAGCTAAGAATGTACATTGGATGTATAGGTGATATTGTCAATCCATGTAGATTATACATAGTAACTTATTTTTTTCATATGAAATTTGAGTTTCTTGGAAATGAGTAGCCATATAAAACATGCAAACATACAGAATTGGTTAAGGGATTTTGTGATTCTTTAGAAAAACAAACAAATTTAAGATAAAGCCATGAGACCAAACTACTACAGTAAGCCTTCTAGCTAGTGCATTACAATTGCAGTTGTGATTAATGATGGCTCTGGGAGTTGACTACACATGGAAATGCCTAGACCACGCATGTACTCATTAGAAATGATTGCATGGAAGGAGCCATTCACTTTCACCAACCAGCTGTTTTTCTTCCTAACTATGTAGTGGATCCTCATTTAATCATTTAAGGAGGTGTAAATCTTGATTACGGCTCATTTTTTGTCAACATAACGAAAGCAGCTTGTAGGCTGGCTTGATATTCCTGTATGAAAGTAACAACACCAAAGCACTACAAGTGAGAATGGCCAAGAGAACACTGCCTTGCTGTTCCTTTTCTGTATGGACTAAACACATCTACTGAATCTTAACTCTTCTGAACACTACATAAGCAATGAGTGTTTCTTGATACTCAGTATTGCCAACTACTTGTTGAAAGAATGTTAATTTAGTTTACAAAGAAAGCAGGTGAGCTATGGAGTTCACTCCTTGATAGTGTACTACGCTTTACATATTTTTAAAATCTTTTTTGTATGTTGTGTTAGGTTCCTGCGTCCAAATTTCTCATGATTTGCAATCTCTAAATGAAGCTGATTGAAGTTTTTTAAAAGCACCTTGCCTGAAACCTATTAGAAATTATGCATTTAATATATTGACATATTCATATTATTTGGACAACTATTTTGTTACCTCAACTCTGGGACCATTCCATTTTATGTACTATTCTTCTCATCTCAATGAAAGCATTTGCCTTCCTCTTAAATCTGCATGTCTTATTCACAGCTTTTTTTCCCCTCTGTACAATAAGTCAAAATACTAGATGCACAAATATGTAATCAGTTATCCAGGTTGGCACAAGTAAATTTACTGCACTTCATAATCAGACTGTGTGGGTTACTACAGTGGGCTTGCTTTGTTTTTTCAAATAAACTTATCCCATGTCAAAAATCTGTTTTGATGTTTGGTGGGGTAGAAGTGTGGATGCATATCCAGGAATATAGCACTCATTGTTCAATGAGACTGAAATGCTGAAAAATTTCCAAATCATATTCTACAATTCTTTTGAACATTTCAGCTCTTATATTCAGCACTCATGAAAGATACATTTTCTGTGGGAGCAGTCAGGCAAGATATATCATATCTCATGACACCTGGAGCCAGCCAGTCCTCTAAGCCAAGAGTACTCAAGATTCTTTGGGGATTGAGCCTAGAGCAGGGGTGTCAAACTTGCAACGTCACATGACGTGTCGTGACACGTCGCAACTTTTTGCCATTGCTGGCAGAGGTGGGCACGGCTTCGCTATGATGTATCCGGTCCAAAGGCCAACAGTTTGACACCCCTGGTCTAGACTAGAGCATAAAAAGCTCAAGAATTTAAATAGTATACAGCTCTTCAAGATTTAATTTTACATTCCTACAGGCTTCCTGAATCTTGCTCCAAATAGATGGTCTGGGGAGATTTATTTTTTTTTTGTTACAGTATGTAAAAACATTTTCTTCCATTTGTAAAGCAAGGTTTAGGGGATGCCACCACAAGTCTTATTTTCTAAATAACAAGAGTTAGCTTCCCAGATAGGAAGACTTGCAACAATCCTTCTTAAGAACAAGGGTTTTTGTTCTGTATTGATACACTGTGATCTAAAACATGGTTCAGTGTTACAGCTGTGCAAACTATTCAATCAAATGTTTCAGGAAATTTCTCCAAAATTGCTGCTCAGTAAGTAGAAGTGGTTGTACCTCTTGGTCAGCTGCCTCAAGAGATGCACCCGTTTCTGTGTTCCTTTACAGTCAGCATCTCAACAAGATATAAATTAAAGCTGCGCCCAAGACCAGATACACAACAAAGGGTGCAGGCCTTTTCCCTAAATAACCAGGCATTAACAACTACATGGCATAGCCATGCACAATAAAGAGTTCAGGTCTTTTCCCTAAATAACCAGACAGTACGAACTACATGGGACAGCCTATGTGCTTACATTAAACCAGAGGCCATGGTTTAGCATCGCAAACTTAAGTCAAATTGATAGTATCCACTGTCACAAGAACCCAGATTGGGTTGCATTACAATCACATTATGATTATGCTAATTTAACCAGCATCAATTTATTTTATAGCATCACTTAAGTTTTGCCCAGATTCTTCAAGAGATCTTGACTTAACTGTAGATACAATTATATTTATGCAGAGGTTCCCAGAGATGTGAAAATTTTAAGGGTTCTAGATCAGGGATGTCCACCCCAGCTCTGCAAAGGCAAAATATATCATGATGTCATGTGACGCAATCAAGTTTGACACGCTTGCTCTAGGTTAAAAAGGTTGAGAGGCTGCTCTGTAGAACTTTAGCTGTTCCCCGAAAGAAAAAAATGTATCCAGGAATAGATCAATTCACCTCCTTGAAATATTGGTAAAACCTAATTTCAAGCTACATATTCAACATGTTGGCACTCTTAATAGGTTCGAGTTGCTTACCTCATTACTATACTCAGTAGCATTAAAGGAGATGTGATTGTTGACACGTTGTGTCACTTACACACGTTTGAGTGGTTCTTTGCAAAGAACTCTTTGGTTGCAAGATTTATCCATACTATAGTGTTTTAAGTTGTGGCTAAATCAGAGGGCTGTTTTTTTGAAATCTGGTTTGTCTAAAACGGTGTCAATTTTATTGAGGGCTGCATCAGCATTGTGGTTGTCCTGGGATGGGGGTAGGTGTGGCCAGGGTGGGCGTGGCCAGAGTGGGTGTGACCTACTGGGTGGGCATGGCCAGCTCTTCATCATTCGCATCAAGGGTGCCTGTGGGGGCCTGGGCAGAAGTGGGACAGATCTGAGGGTCTCTGGCAGAAAGGGGTGGGACCAGGGCAAGTGTCAAGGCATGGTCCACTGGAAGAGCCTCACTGTTCCTCTCAGCCATGCGAGGGGGGGGCTGGATGGTGCCGCGGGCTTCCCAGAACCCTGGGCAGCAGAGGTCAAACGCCCAGCCCTCAAGTACCCGTGGCACCAAGCCAGCCCCACTACCCCAAGGAGGTGCCCAGCTGCACTTACTTCAAGGCTGCTGCTGCTGCTGTGCTTGCTCTCCTTAGCCAGATTGCTCATGATGGGTATGAGGGCAAGGTCAGAGGGAGGCCCATTCCCTCTCCATGGGAGGAGACCCGGCTTTGTATCCAAAGCTTCCTTAGCAATAGGATGGGAGACCCCCAGGATAGGCCAGGAGGAGGGGGCAAGGGGATGGTGAAAGGGCAGCAGGGCAGGACTAAAGCAGGACTTCCCTCAGACCCTCCCTCTCCTTCCTAGAACAGAGTGGTGGGAAAATATTTGAGATGAGGGAGGGAGACAAACAGGCAAGAAACACAGCTGGGGAGGCATCACCCTTCGTGAATGAAGAAATGCACCATCGCCTGGAAGTGGCCAGCACATGGCCCTCACCTACTTCACATATCTGGCTTGGTGAGCTTTGAGGGAGGGGACGCCATGAGCAACATGAGAGTTGACCTTACCTGCGCAATGCCATCCAGCCTGCCTGGTTTCGGCAGGCAGCAAGGCACTCTCCTCACAGTGCAGAGAGGCTGAGCCGGGCAGTGCAAAGCTCCAGCTTTACACCTTGCTGCCTGCTGAAATTGGGCAGGCTGGGGGCTAGGCAGCATTGCACTTCTAATCAGACCCGTGCCACTCAGCTCAGCTCTTGCCGCTGTGAGTGCCCCGCTGCCTGCAGAAACCCCTCTCCTGGAGCCCATCAAGCCGGATATGTGAAGTAGGTGAAGGTCATTTGCTGGCCACTTCCAAGTGGTGGTGCATTTCTTCATTCCTCACAAAGAGTGTCACCTCCCCAGCATGCACCCAGGGGCCAGTCCCTTGCTGTTTCCTGACAGCCTTGTGGAGCTAAGACTGAATGCATTTCAGCATAGATGGCCACCACAAAATTGTACATTGGCTCCCGGGAGGCCTGAGCCGGGACCAAGGCAGCAGGGGCTGTCCCTCACTGTTTCCAGGATGGCTTCGCGGGCCACATGAAACCATGTCACAGGCCGCATCCAGCCCCCGGGGCCTTGTGTTTGACATGTCTGCTCTAAAACCTGTTTCCATTGAAGTTGTCCTAAGCACCATGGAAGGAAATTAGCAGTGGAGCACCCTACCTTGACTGCTGGCTTTTCTTGGATGCTCCACTAGCATGCCAAAGGTGGACATGTGCATTTTGATGAAATATGGCACCAAGGAGATGGCAGTCAGCTGCAGTGTATTATAGCTTCTCTGAGTCGGGCTTTACACAACACTTTTTCCCAATGCTAGGTTGTTACTATAATCTTTGAAGATAGGATTATGCAGACTGTCAAGAAGAGCCCAAGTAACAAGCCAATCTTTCCTCCTTTAATTCACGTTATCTTCAGATATTCTAGCAAACAAAATTGAAGCACTCCTACGTAATACACTCTTTCCAGATGATCAAGCCTCTGAATATTCACTGCAGTTTTTTGAGGAACTTACACATTTTAACATTAAGCATGAGATGGACTGTAACTTGTCTTTAAAAGAATCACTCAGGAGCAACACTGAGCAACACCAGTTATAAGCAAGCTTTTTATTTTTGCACTGTAGCGTAGCCAGTGAGACCATGAATGGGCCATGCACCAGTTCAAAGGCAGTGCTTCAAACCTATCTGAAAAAAATATCCAAAGCAAAGAGTTTTAAAATTTTAAAATTTATTTAGATTCAGAACATCCCCACATCGGTCCTCTTTGTGTTGCTTTGTTCAACAAGTGGTAGTTGGTTCCAGAGGTTTTCATTCAACAAGTGGTAGTTGGTTCCAGAGGTTTTCATTCAACATCAAGAGAATCTTGGCACACCTAGAGGAAAAAAAGCAGAATTTAGGGTAGTGATTTAAGAATACTGAGATCTTTGCTCAAACCTAACAAAATTAGTTTTCTTTAAAAAACAAAACAAAACGAGAACATATCACTGAACGTTGAGCTAGGACACCATTACCTGCACCTGGGCAACTGATGCTGGTGGCTCAGATATAGTGTCTCTTCATCTGCATCAGCAGTCTAACACGCTAAAAAATATCATCACAGCAGCCAGCATAGTGTTCCCAATTTAGATCACCCAAGAGCAAGATTAAAAATATTTATTTTGATGTGCTCACAAGGAGATGCAGACATATCCCTCCCTTATTGCAGTTCTTTGGAGACATGATGCTAACAATGTAGGGGAAACCTTTTGAGTCTTTAAGACTAATCATATCAGACATGCCATGCCACCCATGAATTTCACTCCTCTTTTAACGACATCCATAGTAGTCATCCCTGTGTGCTCATAAATTCCACTGTGTGGAAAACTTTTGTTTGCTCTAAGCACCTTCCAATCAGCTTCACTGCAGGACTGCTGGCACTTGCACATTTGAGGGGGGGAAAGTTCCCCCCTGTCCAACTCAGCATACACTGTCATCGTAATCTAGAATAAAGTTCTAATTTTTTTTATATAGCAAGTAAATAATTTCCTATACACCAATTCCAACTTCTTTTTCAAATATGCAAACTAAAGCATTACAGAAGGAGCACAACACATCTGAAAGCATTAGGGGGGGGGCTTTAGCATCAGCAAAGTCATGGTCCAAAGCTCACAAATCTACCTCCGGAATCAAGAGATATACCGGATCTCTCCCTAGTTCTTGCAAAAGCAAACTGTAACCTACTGCCCAATTATTACCCTGGTAAAGGCCTGACCACAAGCCTATACAATACTATAAGAAGCCCCAAAGTCTCCCTTTTCACAGACGGAGTTTCTCAGCACTGAGGACAATACATTCAAGGGCACTTAGCACATCCAACTCAACCGCGAGTCGTTGTCAAAAACATTTCTCAAAACTACTGTATAACGCAATGCATTCCCCCCCCCCATCTTCTCAGTTCACCAGTTCCGTGGTGTTTCGTAAAACTGGCTCTAAAAGCCAATAATTGCCGTTGGGAGAGAGCTTGAACCCCCTTAGGCAAGGTGCACGAGTGCAGTTAGTAAGCCAGCCCCCAAAATCAGAGCAGCAAGGCACGACGTGATTCCTCCTATAGCGGGCCACAACCATGACCAACGCGTCTGCTCAAATTCCATGCGTTTTGACCCGAAAATAAGTCCTGGGTCAAAAACATCTGCCAGGCTCCAATCGCAATCGGGACCACTGCACATCTGTAGGCTGCAAAAACCCCAACGACCGCTAGATGACATCGAAGAGATATACTGTAATAAGCTGCAAACGTTTGTCACTTAACGATCGTTCAGATTACTGTAGCGCAGGTATAAGCACGGGGAATTCTATCCTAGCAACTACACCACCGAAAAACAAAGGGCGCGACGAGCACGCACCTCCCACGCCGTCGATCCCACGACGAAAAGGCCGAATACACAGGCCGTCTCTATTTATATGCCACATGGCGCCTAGGGACACGCCCCTTTTCTAGAAGCCAATCGCATTGCTATGACTCTGTTCACGTGATCGGCGCCAACTCGAGGTAAGGGTGTCGGTAACGCGCAATGCAGATATTTTCCCGCCGTATTTTTTTATGTTTGTTTTTGGGGATGCTAAATTGTTACGTTCCTCTCAATTTTGGCACAAGAAAAGAAACCACGGCAAATTTACAATCTGAATCCTATGCTTGCCTATCCGCCAGTTTCAATGAGACTTTCTCCCAGCTGGGTTGGTATAGATTTGTAGTATTGTGCATATTTCTTCATATGTATATTTGATATGATGATGATGATGATGATGATGATGATGGAAGGGACCATGGAGGTCATCTAGTCCAACCCCCTGCCCAGGCAGGAAACTATACCATTTCAGACAAATGGCTGTCCAGTCTCTTCTTAAAAACTTCCAGCGTTGGAGCATTCACAGCTTCTGATGCTTGACTTCTAAGTACATGTGTCAGGTTGCACAAAATATACAATAAGTAAATGACAGGTGAGAATCCTTTAAACCTACAGAGTTTAATGATTGCCTTTTTTAAATCTAGTCTTCATCAATTATTAGTTGATTCTTTTTTTAAAAAATAATTTTTTATTAATTTTTATAATTAAACAACAAAAATTATGATGCATTTACGTACATAAACAAAAAAGAAAAAATAATCCAAATCAATACATTTTCAGAGACGCTCGGCCGTCCCCGCCATGCCTCCACCCTCATCCACTTTCCTTTCCTTCCTCCCTCTAACCCCCAACCTCTCCACCTTCCTCCTTACCACCTATCTACATCCCCTCTCCTTTCTTACCACCTCCTCGAGTGCAATTTGGGATACCAGCCAAGCATCTCCTCTTATCAATACAATAAGTATTTATCTATAAAATGTAAATACATCAATTTTTATAATAATTATTAGTTGATTCTTGTTAGTAGTTTGAACTCAGTGGATTTATTCTATTCTGTACTTAATATATTTTGTACTTTTGTACACAAGTAGGTCAGAATGCATTTACTTGATTCCGGGCACATCTAGATAATGCTGGCCAGATAATTTGAATAATACCGTCACCTTGACTTCAACTCTTTTTTTAGCCTTCAAAGTGTGTGAGCTGTTTCTATTCACTAGAGGGCACTCATTGCTTGTTTGAAAAATGGATAAGCAGAAAATGGATGGCATTGGGATAGCATAGGAAAAGGGCTAGTAAAATTGGCCTACAAAAATCAGGAATACAGGTGGTCCTTGACTTACAACAGTTCATTTAGTGACCGTTCGAAGATACAGTGGCACTGAAGAAAAGTGACTTGTGACTGTTTTTCACACTTGCAACCATTGCAGCATCCAAATGGTCATGTGATCAAAATTCAGATGCTCAGCCATCAAAAAAGGTGATCACATGACCCCAGGACACTGCAACCATCATGACTTATGGTTGCAGTGTCCTGGGGTCACGTGGTCACCTTTTTTGACCTTATAAGTAAAGTCAATGGGGAAACCAGATTCACTTAACAACTGTGGCAAGAAAGGTCATAAAATGAGGCAAATTCACTTAACAAATGTTTCACTTAGCAACAGAAATTTTGGACTCAATTATGGTCGTATGTCGAGGACTACCTATACTGGACTTTGCTTTTACACTGCTGGGACAGAAGGAGAAATTATAAAACAGCTGGCTAGAGGGAGAGTAATTTTATTTGCTTTATCGAATTGTAATATTGCGTTCAGTTTTTGCCCTAGTCCAGTGGTAGGCCACCTTGGCTCTTTTATGACTCGTGGATTTCAACTCCCAGAATTCCTGAGGCAGCCATGCTGAGGGGAAAGGGAGAGGTTTCCAAGCTGAGCCATGCTGGCTCAGGAATTCTGGGAGTTGAAGTCCACGAGTCATAAAAGAGCCAAGGTTGCCTACCCCTGCGCCTAGCTCTACTTCAAAGAGCAAACTGAAGCCAAAGGAATCCCTTTAAATATAGTTATGTCCTTATTGGAAAACGTTGCCTTTTTGTTTTTACTTTGGTGGGACCAAGATTCTTTGGTGGGATTTAAAGTGTGAAGGTTGAGACTCCCTTTTCTCACCCGTATGGCCAATTTATATTCATACAAACACACATATTGAGTGTGTAAATAATTAAAACTGTCAGAAAAAGCTGATGCATCAAGTTCCAGAGATTTCAAAACCTTTGAATTTTGCCTGCTATCGACCCCAATCAGCATTGCCAATGCTGGTTTAAGACAGTTGAAAGGAACTGGTTGCCCACCCTGATTCAGATAAATTGCTGAGAAGGGCAATGAGATGGACATCTTTTTTCCGTTTTGCCTCTTGTGAATGAAGAAGGGAAGAGCTTACCTAGAAAGTCAATACCTTATAATTCTGATATTATCAAATAACAAGTGTCATATGGTTCTTCCTTATATTTTTTAGCTGTATTTTGTTCTATGACTTTCCTCTGGTTTACCAATATTTATTTCTTTGCAAGTAAAATACAATAATATTATTTTTAAAAAATAAATATAGGTAGTCCTTGACACATGACACAATTGAGCCCAAAATTTCCATTGCTAAATGAAAGTTTTTAAGTGAGTTTTGCCCCATTTTATGACCTTTCTTACCATAGTTGTTAAGTGAATCACTTCAATTGTTAAACCAATAACACAGTTGTTAAGTGAATCTGACTCCCCCATTGACTTTGCCTGCCAGAAGGTTGCAAAAAGGGATCACATGACCCCGGGGCACTGCAACTGTCATAAATACATGCCAGTTGCTAACCATTTGGATTTTGATCATGTGATCACAGGGAAGCTGCAACAGTCGTAAATGTGAAAAACGGCCATAGGTCACTTTTTGCAGTGCCGTTGTAACTTTGAACAGTCACTAAACAAACGATTGTAACTCAAGAACTACCTGTTACTATGGAATTTCTGAATTCCTGATTATGGCATAATTGTTTTTTAGATACCTGGTACCCTTAATTTCTTGCAAACAGACTTGAAGTGAGATGATGATTTTTTTTTCTTTAGCTCTCATACATTTCTAGCCTTACCAGTCAAAAGGCATAAAGAGTTATTATTTTTCTGGAGTGATAGAAGAAGTAGAGAGAAACACAAAGAGGGTTACACATGGAAGATGGATCTGTCTGTAATCCCTGCAAAACTCCAAGAATGAGGTGTATGATTGCACCTTGGGAATTCTATCACGCCATTTGTTTGATTTAAGAACTGACATAATTGATTCATTCATTTTTTTAAAAAGGTCACTTCCAAATCATTAGATTCCAACAACACCCTCCTCCCCATTGTCCTATTAATCAGTAGAGGGAGATTCCAGCTGTTCTTTCCTTTTCTCCACTTCCATCCAAACTAATACCGGTATGTCAAGCTATCCTGGAAGAGTTTGCCATTAACTGATACTTTGATACAACCAGACACCTGGCTCTTGAACATTGGATTGTTTATTCATTGCTTGACATCTTTTGATTATATTGGCACCATTATTTTCAGTGGAAGCTGCTCAGCGCACTAGAACATTTTGCAGAGCAGCTATTTATGAGAAAAGCCAGGGGACCTGGTTTCAACCTCCTTAGCTAACCTTATAGAAAAGCTCATTGGCCTTATCTTGCTCCTGGCAGTAGC